CGGGGAGTGCGAGGGGGTACTGGGGGATGCGAGGGGCCGCGTGCTCGGGGAGGGGCCGCCCGGGGAAGGGGACGCGCGAGGGAAGCGGGGTGCCTGGGGAAGGGGGTGTATGGGCTGCGCTTTGGAGGGGCGCGTGGAAAAAGGCTGCGTCATTGGTAACGGCCGGCGTTGGACGCTTCTCGCTTGGGTAACCGAGTCTCGTTTCTCTGACCAGATAGGTGTTGGCTTCAACTTCTGGTGTTCACGTTAAAAAAAAAAAAAGAAAAAGAAAAAAGTGTGTACACGGTGTTTAACGGCTTCACTTTGGGTATGCAAAATACAGAAACAGACGTTTTTTGGAGCTGAAGTTTGAGTGATGTTCTTCAACTCTGTGTGCATAGCTTTTAAATCTAGAAAGCTGAATGCAAAATATGTTCGAATCTTAAACTTGCCAAAGGTAATCTCAAAGTGCTGATACCCATGGCAACAGTTTTTGCAACAAAGTAATCACAAAAGTGGTTGTGCTTAATATGTGTTATGTTAACGTAAGATTTAGGTTTGGTATAGGATAAAAGAATAGCCTTGTATTTCCTTACTTCTGTAACATTTCTTTTATAGGTTTACCCTAGCGTGAATTTCTCTGTTTAGCACCAGCCCTAGGTAGCCTTTCTGTGTAGCCTTCCTGAGATTCGCTTTTTTCCTTTCCATGCGTTCTGCTAACCCCCTAGCTCTAGAAAATGCCTTCAGAAAACTCGTAGGTTTGGTAGAAGTTTGCAAACGGTAGCTCTTACCAAATACCTGTTAAATCTCTTCTCCCTTTTGGTAGGGAGCTGTAATTACAGGAAGACAGAGACTGATTAAATATCTCAGTAGTCTTAGAATCACTAACAATGCACAGACAAAATAAAAATGCTACCTTGAAAGTGAAAGAAAATGAGAGTAGAAGTACTGAAGAGAAGGAAGAGGCCTGTTTCCCTGCTCTGTCAAAAGACCGAAAGATTTGCAAAGTGACTGAATCCAAAATCACAAAGGCATCTGAGAAGGAGAATTTAAATGATGGGAACCAAGCACCGTTGCGGAAATCCACATCAAAATGCACTAAAGACCTAGAGAAAGAATCATACCACAACTGCAAGGATGTTGTCAACTATACGCTCACTGAATGCTTTTTTGATACACCAAATAGAGAGACGTTTGGTGAACCTACCTTGCCCTTGAGCAATAAGGAAAATTTTTCAAAAAGTGGGCCTGTTTCTGTAGGGGATGAAAGCTACTTGACACCAAATAGAGATAAAGCAGAAGAAAAACATGATTGTGGAATATCACAGAGACTGAGGAGAAAGCCTGTTGATTTTGCAACTGTAACAATTGCTGAATTTGGGATTACTCCAGAATCTTTTACTAAACAATCTATAGGTAAGGCTGGGGTGACTAATGAAGTGTGTTTGCTTCTGGGAGGGAACCCTGGAGGTCATCTGATCCACCTTCTCAGAATGGGATCAGCTTCAAAATGAGGCCAGATTCAGGTTACTCAGGATGATGTCCAGTTGAGTTTCAGATATCTAAGGATTTGAGTCTGATGTAATGTTGCTTTAATTCTCAATTTAAACTTTTTTCTATTCAGCTTGGTGTCAGTGACTTTCTCAACAGAGTAGAAAGACAAAAATTGTGCAAGTATTATTGGCAGTTCCTCAATTAGCCATTGAAAAAGAGAAAGACAGAGCCCTTCACTAGAAATATAGTGTAACTATGAACTTGTTTTTTTGCAGTGTTCTTTTTTGTGCATAGGAGAAAAAAAAAAGGTCTGAGTTCCTATTTGTATAGAAAAGGAATGTTCCAGTTTCTTATTTTTATCTTAGTTGAACAGAGTTCTAGAACCTATTTTTAGGGACCTTGTTGAAAAATAGCATAGAAGGAATGTCTCCTGAGCTGAACAGCTCAATCTGGATTTTTCTATAAACAGTATAGATCCTTAAAAAAAAAAAAATCTTTAATTTTTATTTTTTCTCTGCTATTAAAGCTTTAAGTGTTTTAACATGTGACGTTTAATAGTATGTTTTCCTCCTATGTTGATTTCAGAGAACTCTCCGACACCGTTAAAGTTTAGACGAAGGTCAACAATCGGAGTATGGGGGTCCCCAGAAAATAACACCCTTATTCGATACCTTGCACAGCAGAGAAAGAACAGGCAGAAAGAATTTTTTACACAGGTGAGAATCTTTGTCAAATATCTAATGTGTCCGTTTATTCCTCTAGGAAATAACATGTAAATTTTCAAATTTAATATATGCTGATGGGAAGAAAAGGTAAGTCTTTAAGGAAAGCAATATAATAAATAACCATGGCCTTAATTTTGTTGAATTCTTTTGGGCGCCTTACTTTAAAATAGGGAATGCGATAGGTTTTGTTTGATTATAGTCTGGAGTCTTTTCTTCGTGTCCAACGTACTCATATATTTTAATTTTTTTAACGTAAACTTTATTTACCTGCATTTGTCATGCTTGATCTATACGTAATTAAAGCATTGATACTTCAAAGTGAAGTAAATACTAGCATAAATGACTTTTTAAATTAAACTCATTTTTAACTCTAACAGATGCTGTCAGAAAACAAATTGTGAATACGATCTAGAGGGAGACGTGAAAGGGCAATAAAACTTAACAGACTTCTTGTTCTAATTTTTTTCTTATATATTTTTACTATACAACTAAAGCAGCAGCCAGATTAAACACAAGAATTGCTTCTTCTCCCAGTTTGTGTTATGCTAAAGTATAAATACAAAGTAATAAAGAAATCCTCATCCTAGGAAAAAAAGACTCATGAGGTTTAATTTTGTTTTTGCAGGTTAATCCTTTTAACTATCAAAATGCTGGATCATTAAAGGACAAAATACTTGCTTTTCAAACATCCTTTAAATCAGTGCAAGAAGATGAAGGGAACACTGGCTTCTCTGGGTTCTCACAGGTGGCTGATGCTTCCCAGGAAGTAGGCTGTTGTAAGTTTTATTTAATTATTTCTGGTCAAAAGTTTATCCTAAACATTAGTTCTTTCTTTAGTGCAAAAAAAGTGAAACAACAAGCACTTACTCTAGAACAAAAATATCTTCCATTACACAGATTGATAGTGGGGGTTTTTTTTGTTTAGTTTGAAGGGTTTTTTTGTGGGTTTAAACTTGTCTTATTTCTTAGTGTGTCCTGCATAGTGATTTCTCAGAATAACCCCTGAAGAAAAGGTTTACTTTCTAGATTTATAACTTCCACTATACTTGTCACTAAGCATTAGTGTATTTGCATTTTCTCACTTCTTCCGTAAAAGCAGTAATGATTTTAAGAGCTAACACCAGTTGTTATAAGTTTTGCAACTGGTCTCTGTGTTGATCACAAGGTGGAGACTTTTGTATAATAACTGTTAAGTGCAGTAACTTCAGAAACCGTGTTTTACAGTGTTCAGTTAGATTCCTTATTTCTGGATGAAAATATTAAATATTGCAAAAGCAAGTCACAGTGGTACTGTGGTAACTACGGGCAGATGATACTGTAAAGTAAACTATAATGCTCTACCTTTTCTAGTATTGATGCTCTTAATAACGTTCATATGAAAAAGATGACTCTGTTTTGGAGATTTGGTAATTTATGTTATTTCCAAAATAAAACACAAAATTTCATGCTTATTTTCTAGTGAGGGAGGGAAAAAATCCAGCTTGTTGAATCTCACCATCCCTTTGATAAATAAATACAAAAATAGCATTTATGAAAAATCTGACGTTTGTATTTGTGTGTGGGCTTGGTGGGTTTTCTTGTTTCTTTTTTAACTGATGCAGCTCAGAACAAAGTACCTTTTGCAAAAGAGCGCAACGAGGATCAGTGGAGTGAAAAGTTAAAGTCTGTCTACAGTGGAGATGATTCCAAGCAAAATTTCACCAACAACGATGAGGCTGGTATCAAGGTTTGCAGTACCTGGTCTTTACACCAAGATGTGATTGTCACTGAACCTGCTGCTGCTGTTTCGAAGGTACTTATCCGAGTGTAGGTAGAGGACCTGGAGAAGATAAATGGCACTGCAAATTTTCCTTGTAAGAAGTAAATTCTTACTATGGAAAGTCGATGGAAGCAATCTGGTATGGACACTGCTTTGTCTGGACTGACAGAAAATATAGCCTAACCTAAGATATCTGTTGCTGGCTCTTGTGAGGCCATGCTCAGTTTTCTTTTATGCGCAAATATTAAATGTAGTTGCTATAAGCTGTTCACCTCGAGAAGATTATGTTCTATTCTGATAATCAAAGGGAAAATTTATTTTATTCTATTAACAAAATGTAAATATTTCTTAATTCTGGTTTTGAATTCATAGCTGCAACTGTGTGGAATCTCAAATCCACAGATTTGGCAAGTACAGCTTTTTCCAAAAGTCAGCTCCAACTTTGTTAACCATTGGGATGACCTTTGAATGCAATTTTTCATCTTCATCTTTTATGTTTGGCAATTATTTGATATCCCATGCAAAGACAAGAACAAAGTATTGCATACAGATAGAGAAATTCATTTGTGGGAAATATCTTGCCCATAAATATTTCTAGTGATCTTTTTATTAGCGTCATACATAAAAATAGCGAAGCTAGGGTCCGTCTTTGCCAGACACGTTCACGTTGCTCTGATGTTGCGGGACTCCTGAGTTGTAAAACGCCTGCAACAGTGTGAACAGTTGTATGGAGATTAGGAAGAAATTTCCTAAATTAGTGATTAAAATGAAAGAAAGAGCATGAAAAACCATTACATTTTTGACATCTGATTCTTTAAGCGTTTAGCCCTGCTATTTTGGGAAAACTAGTTCAATTAAAGCAGTAGATGATTGAGAAAATGTTGAAATCCTTATCTTTGAAGGTGTTAAAAAGCTCTGTAGTTCATGCTGTTTTAAAAGGCACCATTTGCAAGTGGTTACGGACCAGATATGGTGAGGAGTGCTTCCCTATTGTTGAAGTCCTGTATTTAATAGACTTGGAGTTCATCCTTTACTGTGTTTTGTCTGGTTTCAGGTTATTCATGGTGTGTAGTGATAGTACACTATCCTGCCCTTTCTTTGAGTATTGAGATTGATTTGAGAAACTTAGGATCCTTTGGTCAGTAAGTGTGAAATATTCTTTTTAGGTTAAAATGTTCAGCAAGCAGATGAAAGAAATATTTTTCTACTGTATTTAACAGCTGTTATTGCAGTTGAGGATTGAGAAACCTCAGTATTCTTCTGTGCTTTTTTCCCTTTTAAGAATGGTAGTTGACGTTTGTGACATTAGTAAATTACCGTTTGAAGCAATACTTCAAAAAATGGATAACGAGGAGAGAGGCCAAACAGATTAATATCAAGTGCTTCACACAAAAAGCCAACAGATTATATTTTTAATTTCTTTATTGTATCGTTACATGTAATACCTTTTTATTCTTCTTATCGCTTTATCTCTAGGAACCGATTGGTGAGCAGCAAAATCCCGTTGAGTTGTTGGAGGCTGTTCTAATTAAAGATATCTTAGAAACAAGCCATGGTAAGAGGATTCATCACTATTTTAACTGTTGTTATATTCTTAACAGAAACTAAAAAAGCTAGAGTATTTGTGAGGAAATGTTTCAGAAGCAGTGATCCCGTGTGTGTTGTCTTGTCTACGATTTATAGTGCAATAGAAACTTGATGCAACTTTGCAAAAAGGCTGTCTGGGTATATGATAACAAGAACAAAATAAGTACCGTAAATGATCTATTTAAGTGGTGCTGCAGAAAAGGCTCAGGTCCCAGTTTAAAAACTGAATTCATAGCTCCTGTGCAGCGTAGCATTATGCAGGTGTTCTGTTGAAGGATAGCTCACAGAGAGAGATAATACCTATTATTAGAGAAGATGAAATGTTTTGTGGGGGGTGGTGGGGCAAGCTCCTGAGTATGCAAAGCCCTTTTCTAACTCTGATACAAAAGCAAGCCCAAAACTAAACACAGGCTGGAAATAATGGCTCTGTGTTTCCCTTAATTTTGTTAGCTAGACAATTTTTTAAGGAAGTGTAGTTGAGCAGTTCATCTCTGAGAAGCAGAGAAGGATGTTAACTTAGAGAGAGCCCTTCTGGGTGGAATACAATTTTTTTTGCTGGTTTGCATGAAGGAGATATAGATCCTTCTTATGCAAAATCTCTTCATGTAATACTCCCTTTTCACCTTTGTATGTTCTGTAAATTTCTGAAATATGAAATGTAGATGATGAGCAGCAGCAGCAGAAATTTAGAGAGAATGAATTTAGCAATTTAGAAGAATAAAATACTAGGTGGTGTTGCTGCACGCAGTCTGTCAACAGAGGCATGTATATTTATAACTTGTATTGCATTGCTAGAACTAAAGTCTTCTCAATTTTACTTCAGTCTTTAATTTTCATATCTGTGTACTTGCTCTGAAGATTTCGGTCCTGACTATGTCACTAAGGAAGATAGAAGTAATGTTACATCAGGTCTAAGAAGAAGGAAAGTTAGCTTTGCAGAAGAACTGAGCCTGGAAACAGTTGATGAACCCAAGCCACCTATCATATCAGTACAGACAGGAAATGTTTTATTAAATGAACTTGTACAGAGTGGCTCCCGTCTTCGATCTGTATTGAAGAAAACACCAGTAAAGCAAATAATGGATAGCATGAAGGTTGGTTAACTGACTTGTATGTAGATACTAATGCTAAGGATGCACTTCTGCAGTCATTATTGAACTCCTGAAAGTTGAATCATGGTTAAAGATACTTTTGAAGTGTACTTTTTGATAAAACCGTGCTTCAGAAAGATATTCATGGATAGCACCAAGTTCTGTCTGCTGTTTGCTAATCTTAGAAGTTTTTTCTGATACATGTTCAGGTTACAAGAAGCTGTATGTGTATGTTGTTGAATTTTATTTGTTTAGAAAACAAGTAGATTTGTTAAATGATTGGACCGATTATTAAATGTTATTTAAAAATTATTTTCACTTTGGATTTGAACCAGGGCAATGTTTAAATACCATTGAATAGGTGGTTGCTTTATATGCGTGTCAATCAGTAGAAATATCACTTAAATCTGATAGGTATCAAACAATCCTGTTGACAGAGGAGGAGGTGAATCTCTCACAGTCTGCAGTCCTACGCATATCTCTGAATTATTGCAAAAAGGTCAGATTCCATTTTTGTGTTTTTCTGTAAATGGGCACCATCTTTCATAGGATCATGGAGTTTTGCTCCTTACAGTGTCTGAAGAACAACGTGCACATGAACCACACAGCTCCTGCATTGTTAGCTCCTGTATGACTTCTTACTGTGTGAAGTGGAAAATAAGGTTCTAAAGGAAAATAACGTCTAGCTAAAAAAAGAAAAACCTTCAGAAAGAGTCTAATAGCAGGAGTTATGGAATCACCTGTTTTTACAAGAAACTTTGCACTTTTGTCAACTAGAACTTGTAGAATAGTTGATCTTGATTTTTCTAGTCTTCTGTTTTCCACCTTCCTTGATTCTTGGTACTGTAACAAAACTAGACTGAAAATTTTGTTTGACTCCAAAGGCCTTTAAGAGTTATTTTGCTTTTTGGTTGGGAGACGGTTTTTAAGAGAATATTAAGACCCTGGAGGAGAGCTGTGAATTGAAAGTTGTATTTTAAGTTCACTAAGCAGTCAATATATCTTCTTACAATAGAGAAAACTGAACAACACAGCTCTGAAAAGTCAAAGAAGAAAAAAGTTACTTTTGGAGAAGATCTAAGTCCAGAAATATTTGACAAAACTTTGCCCGCAAATACTCCATTGCGCAAAGGAGCAACGCCGGTCCGTCATCCAGGATCACAAAGCAGCAGTCCATTTACAAGATCAAGTTTGACTGAAGAACCATTATCCCAGCCAAACTTTGACTGCAGTGATGTAAGTTTGTTAAAACTATAAAAACAGCTTCTTACACTCCCCTAGAATGTTTAACTATTTCCAGACTGTTTTGATTTTTGAAAAGAAATTGCCAGACACTAAAATACAGACTGCCTCATGCTTTAGAATGACATTTTAAGAACCTTTTTCTTTTTTTGCTCTATGAATTGGCTTATGTGTCCACTTCTGATATCATGTTTCTTTTTGTTATATGTAGCAAATGCATCATCCTTTAAGACAGAACATGTTATCTGGCTGTTCCAAATTCTAATGGACAAAATGTTTTTCAGTATACTTCCGGTATAGTATGTTGGTAGTAAATTAAACTTTTAATTTTTATTGCTTGTCTTAAAGGAATGCATTGAGCCTCTTCAAGAGTTAGTGGAGGATTATGTTGCTGCGGAAGACTTCTTATCCACTGAAAATGTGGGAGGTAACTTTGAGTCACGTTTTGTCTCTGTGCTATGCATCGTTCTGTATCTGAAAATTGAGAGATGCCACAGATTTTTATGAATATTGATATATGTGAATGAGATGTATTGAAATTTAACGCTAATATTTACATGTCTTGCCTTCTCACAAAGCTCTTCACTGTAGCTGCAGTGTTTGTTCACTGAGTAGTTTGAATGGATGTTTTTTGAACTTCTAGTATTTTTCTGTGGCAGTGGCTGATCTGACTGATCTGATTAGACTTTTGCTGCTTACATATTAGTGAAATACTGTTTTCTTAACAGAGCACTGAATTTAGGACTTCACATGAACTGAACATGAGAGACATGATGTGAAAGAGTGTAAAGGCTTTTATCATCTTGAATTCAGTTTTAGACTTTTTAAAATTCAGTGCTAACTTTTACTAATGTGTACACGCATCTCAGCACTGCTAGCAGGTGTACAGGATCAGTTCCCTGGGGTTAAGATGAATACAGTAGACCCTAGCAAATGCCATAGTCAAATGGCATTAAGCTGCAGATGTTCTGTAAATTCATTTGAAATTTCAGATGATCAGGCTTACTATCTTGGTTCTGATATTGTAGATATACAATATCTACAATACCAATATCTTGGTTTTGATATTTTTAGAATAGCAAGCAAAACAATAAAACAGAAAGGAAGGATTCCTACCAAAAATCGCTACCGATTTTGTTTCCTTCTGTTTTGATTTGTTTTGTAAGGAGAACTGCCAAGCTTTATATGTCTTCATATTAGCCCTTTATGTGCATTACTCAAGGCTAAGATAATTCAACATGCTATGCATGATGATGATAACTATTTGGATAGCCTCCTTGAAATGTGATTTACTTTATGTTAAAACTGAATCAGTATTTTATTTTATTCATATATAACAGCAGAAACTGACAGACCTTTTATGGGAAGAACTCGGTCCTGTACTAAAAGAAAGGTAAGTTTCTTTAGTGATGATGATTAGTTTTATGTCTTAAAACAGAATTCCGAAAGAAATGGCAAGATGAACATTTACTATTTTCTCATTAGAATACCCTTTTTGCACAAATAGAACTGTATTGTACTGTGTGTGTAAGTCTTACTTTCTGAATTTGAATCTTTAAATTCCATGACTTCATGTATAAAGTATCTCAGACTAATTACAATGTGATTCTTTTGGATGTTGGACTGTTAAAAAAAAAAAAAAAAACCCTATGTGTGCGCGCACACGCACCCAAACAACTTAAAATTCACGTTTCTCAACAGTATAGCACCATTTCAGAGGGGATTGATTGTGGCATCTCAAAAGCCACAAGTGCTAAGAATACTAAAGATGCTAAAAATCCAAGAAAGAACAAGTTTCAAAGACAAAAGGACATAACCACGTCTGCTGCCAAGAAGACACCAGTAAGTGACAACCCACTGTAATTTGTGATTACCTTTATTTCTCTATGCAGGTGTCTTCTGCAATTAGTTTTCTTTGCTGTGCATATTTCTCATGGTTGTTTTGATCTTTGTAGTGAAGACTTTCCAGTAAGTATGTTTTCCTGTTGCAGCCAGTATTTTTCTTCCTCCTTCCGCTCTATCTTGTTTACATAGATTCCCTGCCACACACCTCTTCTTGTTTGTTAAGGTTGGCTAGTTGCGGGTTAGATACTTTTTACTTGTAGGGCAAAAAGGATACTTTACAGAGATGAAGGATACTTTACCTTTCAGACCTCACTGACAGAAAATGAAGGTTCTTCTCAAGAGTATGTAGCGGTAACTCTTTAAACTTGCCCAGTTATATGCCAGTTTGTTTTAAGCATTGCAAAGGTGTGAGACTTCTAAAGTGTTTGAGCTTTCCTTGTTCTGGAAAGGAAAGCACATACTTATTTTTAAACTGGAAAGACACAAATAATCGTGAATGGAAAATCTATAATTTTGTGCCCAAAAACTCTTCTCTGCGTTTTCTGGATTTGGTTAAAGTGATGCAAAAATTGAATCTCATATTTGAGAAGTAATTCTTCTAAGCCCTGCAGATTTAGGTTAATTGGCAGGTGGTAAAACAGGTGGAACCTTAATTTTAGGGAAGTCATTTTTCCATCAAAATCCAGAAATGATGCGACTCGTTTGAAAATATTGCAAAGGATCATTATAATTGCGTTGCGCTCTATTGAGTCTTCTCGATCTCTTCAGAGAGTAAAACGTACAAGCTTTGGAAAAAGAAGAAGAAAGAAAAAGGTAAAGAAATCTTTATATGGGGAAAGGGAAATGGCTTCCAAGAAACCTCTCCTCAGCCCAATTCCCGAGATTCCAGAGGTTTTCTCTTCTGCCTCATCTCCAAACACACCAAGACAAATGCAAGACAAACACAAGACAAATGCACTTTTTCCAGGTAATGTGCTGCTTAGTTTTGTTTTACCTTACTTTTTCTATTGCTTCTAATTTTTTATTTCACGCTGCTATTTATAAAACTGTTGGTAACTATCATGTTCTGTGCATAGGTAGAGCCCAGTGTGTGTTTCTTGACCTTTAATGGCTTCTGGAGTGCAATGAAAGAGAAATAAATAGTAATCTGTAATAGTAGAGCCCAGAGGACCTAACATGTCATTAGTTTCAAACTGGATAAATTTAACTCTTACAGAACTCCAGTGTAAAGCTGGCAGCTAGATCGAAGGAAAAAAAAAAAAAAGCCTCTCTAATTTGACTGGACCCTGATATTTTCTTTTTCTTTAAAACTGATAATTTGGGCCTGAATAGGTGAATAATGACCAAGACCTTTATGGGGAGGTTTTGTTGATGTTGGTTATCCAAAATAATTGTTTAGAAGGTTACTTTTATGTATAAAATGCTGTAGTTTTTACTATAGTATTTCAAAAAATGATTGTGTGCGTTCACAAGTAGATTGAAGTAATTCTGTGTTTATTCTAACTGAAATGACTTTTAGATAATTCCAAATCCAGGAGTGTTTATGAGGCTGTTCAACAGAAAAAAGTGGTGGAAAGAATGAGAGAGAGAAACATTCATGCAGTTCACACATATCCAAACTCTAAGGACCTGGACATTGTGGAAGCCAGCAGCTCCAATGATGCAGTGTTTCAGACTTCAGATGGTGATCCAAAGTCTGTTTCAAGCACTGATTACAAGGTAACTGATCCGTTTAAGGATACGTCATTAGAAAATAAGTCCGAATTACAATTTATGTTGTTAGATCAAACAAAGTAATGTTCTGGGGCAAGAAAAAAATTAACTGTAAGGGTGGCTAAACACTGGAGCAGGCTGCCTGAAGAGGCCATGGAATCTCTGACCTTGGAGATGTTCAATGCCTTGTTGAGTTTTGACTCACATTATCTAAGTGGCTCCCACTGTGGAGAAGGTTCCTTCCAACATACAGAATTCTGATTTTTGAGAATGATTAGACTAGTGAGGAAAAAAAGTAGCAATAGTCCAGTTATCTTTGAGTGGATTACCTTTCACCTGTAATTAAAAAATAAATCTGTATTTTTTGCAGTTTCCAAACATTGTTGTGCCAGAAGCAAAGTGCATTTTTGATACGTCTGACCAGATCCAGCAAGGTGAAGAGACTGTATGTATAGAAGAGGGGAAAAAAAGCGATTCATTGATAGAAAACAAGAAATTACGGGGAAATTGCCTAAATAAGGCAGAGCTGCTAACAGGGCTAGAATTCCTGGAACCTCAGAACACTGGTGTAGGCGAGGACACCCAAAGAATGGAGTGTTCACCAAAAGACTGCTCAAGAGGCAGACAACCAAGAAGAGGAAGTAGTAGTAGTGTCTATGTTCCTTATACCGAAAACTCCCATTTTGAAACAACTGGAAACAGTCTTCCAGTTTCTTCTTTTAATGCAGAAGAAGTCCTATCTGCTACTCGACTGACAAATGACTCCTTAGAAGAGCCTTTTCGAAAAATGAGTGGTGATAGTGGTGGGAAAAGGAGGGTGAGACGCAGCATGAGACTACAGAAAGATACAGAAACGCAAGGGCTTGCATGGATTCAAGTACCCAATGAGATTCAAACAAAACCTCTGCTGTTAGCTTCCTGTTGCAAAATTAGGAGAAGAACAATAAGCACCTCTGTTCTTAAAGAATCTGAGAATGTTCACCATAGAGAAGAAAATCTCATCCGTTTTTCAGCACCAGAGAAGGAAAACAATAACTCCGTTCATCTTGCTGATGGTCCTTCCAAAAGATGGAGGAGGAAAAGCATGTGTGTATCCACACCTCAAGAAACAAGAAATTGGTCTCAAACCCAGAAAAGGAGCATAAGAGAATTTGCATACAGGAAAGACGGAAGTAGCCAAAAACACCGTGAAGAAGTAGAAGTCTCTCTTGAAAACTGCTCTGACATTTAGCAAAACTTCAGCTTCGTCTGATTTGTAAAGAAAAGGTCAGTATTTTAATATAGATATTCTCTATCCTAAGTGCTGTTAAGAAATAGACATTCCTTTTTTCTTCCACTTAAAGGCATTACATAAACATTATTTCCTTACTCATTTTCTGAATAGCTTTAAGTTTTTAATAAGTTGCTTTTCCTTGTCTTGATGACGCTAAAATGCTTGAAAATCAGAACTGTAAGGAAGACCTAGCTTGGCTCAAGAATTTGTTTAGGAGACAGTAGTGACAGGCAGTCAAGAGGATAAAACTTTTTCTCCCATGATGAACTGAATTTTGATACCACCTCTTTATTCTAGTCCACATCCTTCCTTGTGTGTTTTCATACCGTAGTGTTGTCTTCAGAGCAATAGCAATTAAATGCTGCTAACACGTTATAAAAATTCAGCAAATGACTGATCTTTTCTGCAATGCCAAGCTCGGTCGTTTCACGAAGGAAGAGATGAATTTCTTCCCAACTGGGATACACTTAATCATGGTACTTGCACAGCAGTGTGGGGTTTTTTTGCCCTTGAAACTTAGTAGTGACTATTAGATGGGTTTTGTTTTATAGGCCATCTTGGCACATGTGCCCCACTCACTAAGGCACAAGATATGAAGTTGTTAAATGGAGAAATGCCAGCGAATGCATGTGGCTCTTGGCTCTTTTAAGTGAAGAGGAACAAAACTGATAGTTCCAAAAATACAAACTATAGTGACAAGCTACATTTTAGACAAGTGTGAATTGATACTAGTCCAATTTTTTGCTGATAGGGCTCTTTCCTTTTTTTGAAAGAACAGGATTGAAGACTAAGTTTTATTATATTTTGAAGATTAATCACAGTAGATAAAATCTGAGTTTGTCTTTAGTATTTAAACCATGATGTTGTATGGCCATATATGCCCTTCCAGCTATAGTTGCTTGAAATGTTGATGTTTTCCCATCTGCTAGATCTTTCTTTATATATTGCTTTTATAAATAAATGCTTTTGGAGTCCATATTTTCTTGCAGATTGCAAAAACATCCTAAAAAATTTGAAATTCTCTACAAATAAGATAACAAAGAAGAAACCTCTGCCTTGGAGGGGCAGGGGAGAAGGGGGAAGCTGTTCCCATCTTCTGCAGAGACTTTGTTTTACCTTCTGGGCACCAGCTGGGGTAGAGTTCATGTAACTAAGGGCCAAATTTTGTATTGGATTTACTAAATTATGATTCTCTGGAAAGGTTAATCATTTAAAAGAAAACTTTTACATCTTAATGTTATATACAATAAACTTTTAAAAATTAGTTTGGCTAAGAAAAGTCAAAGTATCCAGAAATGAAGTACAGCTTTACTGTATGATGAATGTTTCAATCTTCAGTACTAAATATGTACTAAATATAGTGTGTAATATTCGGTGGTTGATCTGTCATCTTATTCTTTTCTTTTGTCTAGTTTGAATAATGTAATAAAAAATGATGACTGTGGGTGGTCTACATTACTTTCATTTCTGATGCTATTCTGTTTCAGCCCTAGTGAAAAACCTGTGCCAGCTTCCAGGAAATAACTTCATGTTGAAAATGATCTCTGTTGTGACCTTGTTTTTACCATTATTGATGTGGAATAAAGTATTTTATGTCCTTGGTTGCTTTTATGAAGCTTAAAAGAAACAGAACGGTTTCATTTTTATGCATGTTTTACTTCTCTCTGCAGGCATCATCAGTTTTTCCCAAGACAACAAATCTTAAGGCAACTTGAAAGGAACTTAATTAAATGCTGTTCATCTTGTCCTGCTTTAGAAACATTTTAATCCAAACAGTCTCCTTGATTTTATTTTGGGGTTTGCTTTTGTGTCACAATGAAAACTGTGGATTGGGAAACAGGATTGGAACAGTTACTTGGGTTAAATCTTCTTGGGATAGCAGTTATGTTGGCTTACCAGGAGAGGGCAGTCTGACATGAGTTTTTATGGGCAAACCTGAATTATTTTGAAAACTACATCATACTGTACAAAATCCTTGAACAGTTACTAGCTAAGGATAAAATTTAAAGCTACCTGGGTGCAAAGCTAACTAGAAATAGCTGCTATTTCTAACATCCAAAATAATCAAAACTAGCTTTTAACAGTAATTGAACCAGTCTTCTAAGTATTAAGCATTTCACCTTTCCAGTATAGGTTATTTTTATGCATTACATTCTGGATATGAATTTCTATATGGGAAGTGCATAGCATTCTTTTAAACAATAGTGATCTACAGTTGCATCTGAGATCTTAGGGCCTACCTGTTATATTAAAATCTAACAGTGCATGAAACCTGAGATCTTGGGTCTCGGATACTGAATTAGCAGACTTGAATAGTCAGGTCAAACAAAAGGGATGTCCTGGAAGAAAAGGCAGTAAGCTAGTGTATGCGATACCAGAAGGCATCATCTCTAAAATGCTGCCTAGAACATGGTTTTTGTGATGTTGCTGACTTATGCAGCAGCTACAGCAGTAATGGAAGAGAATCCTCTCTCAGAGGCTGCATGAGTGGATGAGTTAAGTGCACTTTAGATGTGGAGTGAGGTGTAAGTAAAATCAGAAATAAAAGAGCTAGGTCAAGGGGAAGAAAAACAAAGTTTGGATTGGATTCAACTTGGTTGAAACGGGTTGTTAGGAATTACATGTAGATGCTTGACTGCAATTTGCAGGGCTTAAATGAGGGTGAGGTGATAGCCTACCGCGACATAAAGAGGTTGAAGTAACTAGATTTAATCTGGAGAGAAGGCCTGAGGAGACACAAGTCTTTAATTATGCAGAAGGTTTTAAGGCAGGGAGCATCATTAATAATCTGTTCTCCATATCCATACGAAATGGAACAAGAAATAATGTGTTTAAATTACAGGAAAATATCTCTGTTAAACATTTTTTAAAAGTTCCAGCAGTAGAGATAGTGGAGCACTGGAATACATTACCTTGGGAAGTTGTGGAATCTCCATCATTAGAGGCTTTTAAGAACACATTAAACAAATATCTGTCAAGAATGACATATGATCTTTTGCTGGGGTAAGAGCAGGGCCTAGATGACCTCTTGAGGTCCCTTCTGGCTGTGTTTTCTATGATTGCTAGAGATTAGGGATGCAAGGGGTGAACTGGGACATGATTGTAGTTAAGACTTGAGTTAGTATCTATCACAGAATAGAGAGTAGGAGAATTGCTAACTCTGGGAGCTGTTCAGCTTGAGAAGGAACTGGGGAATTTGGGATGCAGCTCTTCATCTTTGGAGTCAATCTGTAAATATTTTAAAAGTTCAGATCTCATGTGACTTTCACTTTTAGGAGGTGAAAAATATCTATATAGAATCCTGGCATAGTGTGACCTGCAAGCTGATGGCCACGCTGTTATGCAGGAAGTGTGGTCCTGATGCTGACCCTTTGCCATCATTTTTCACACATTTGAACAGCAGAATGAACAATATTTCAATTTTGCTTTTCTAAAATTGAGTTAACATCAAGCTTTGAATGACCAGCAAACTTCACTATCCCTCTTCAATCAACAGAAGTATTTCCTGAAGTAGTCTCTTGTTTCCATTGTCACTTAGGGATGTAGTAATTTAAATTCAGGTATGTTATCTGAGTGCAGACAGGTCCTGAAATTCACGTTATTTTGCACTTGTAATTCTAGTTTTCAGCTGTTAATTGCGGTACTATCTGGAGTTTTAATGGATTTTAATGGTATTCTGTCACGCTAGGTTAGCTTAGTCACTCTAATACAGCCTGCAGTTTTAGTTGAGGGAAAGTCATTGGACAGAAGAATGCACAAAATCAACAATGTAAAAATGAGCCGTGGTTTTAGTTTGATTGGTAAAGAATCACTACAGAGGCTGTTAGATTTGGGAGTCAGCAATGCAGTCTCCCAGTTTGAAGGTTGGCAGTTGTAGCCTTCAATTTAAGACACTGTTTTGACTTGTTTTGTGCAGTACTGAGCTCCATGTCAGTCAATATATTATTGTGGCATTTAAATAAATCTGTGGTGTTGGCCAGTTTCTTTCACCTGTTATTCACTCTCCCTGTTTTTCTAAAGGGAAGTTAATACTTTTTATTTCTTTAGAGAGTTATTATAAAGATTACTTTGCATTTAAAGTGCTTCACTGACATTAAATGCTGTATTGCATAGACATTAGATAGCTTCAAATATGGTCAATGGCTAGCATTAAGTGTATATTGCTGAATAATTGCATTTAGCAGGTTTAGCAGGTAGCCATGTAATTCTCATATATTGACTGGATTGGAGGACAAATGATGGGTCCTAGAAAGTGTGTGGTTATTTCACCACTCTGTTGTAAATGATGTCATTAATAAGCCAGGGCAGGTACTTACTTCTTTTGCTTACACTGTCCCATGAAGTCAAGTCTTACAGCTGAATATCTGCAAAATTTCAGTAAGGAGTATACCACCGTTGGAATTGTTTTCCCTTAGGCTTGCATCATGTCAGTGAGCTGAAGATACAATGATACTTATGATGGAATTCTTCAGAAAGCTTTAAAGGGAAGGATTAGGCTCCTGTTATTATTGCTTGTTTCAGTAATTATTTTATGCCAGTAATTGGCCATAATTAAGATGCATATCATGTATGATGACTATATGACCAGGTATACTCACCTGTGAATTATCAAGTAAAAGAGCTTTCCTCAGTGTGACAGTCTTTCGAAGGAGGGAAAAAAATAGTTAGAATAGTATGTGCCATTTTTTCTGATTTACTGATAAGCCATACTTCAAAGTAGTCAGTTGTAATTAAAGATTTGTGTAATCTTCAGCTTATTTTTCTCTACTTGCTGTTGACTACTTGGGCAATAAAACGAGGTACTGAAATACGAAAGGGTTGTATATAAACTTCACTATTTTATGTTCATCTAGACTTGATAGTCACGTAGCTGTTTAGAACTGCGCTAAAATGTTTTGTGCTTTTCTTCCTCCTGACTCTGAATCCTCTAGCACTGTTGTAGTTCACTTAGAACTGGAAGGACGTTAGTGATGAACTGATCTATACACAAGGAAGCAAACAGAAAAGCATTGTTAGATCTGTATACAAGGAACTGAACAAAAAAGCCATTAAAGTGTGTCAAGTATAGTTTAAGCACACAGGAACAGGAGTGGGCAGTGAAAGAAATTTCACTTTCAAGCTGCTAACAGGTAGGTAAGCAATGGGAATAATATCTGTTTTAAAAACAAACTGTAAAGTGTGCTTGAGTAGTCCTTCAAATTGCACATTTTTAAAATTAGGGGGTAAACAAGTGCAAATCAAAATGTTCTAGCTTGAAATAAGGTAGGGTCTAATTTTAGTGTGTCCTGTGGAAAAGATGAAGTTGTGCCTATGACGTATAGACAAAAAGGCTAATGTATTAGTTTTGTAATTAAGTCCTGTAAATTGTGCATAACAGTGCAGTTAACTACTTTAACCAAGCTTTGGAGGGGGAAGAAGAAAAACCTGTGTGCACTGGGAATGAGGGCATGGAATATATTCCCTAACTCAAACCTGAAAAACCTTGTGTTAGTCTTGGGTTATTTCCAATGACCCTTTGACTCCCATCTTCCTGCCCCCTGCACAGATTTGGAACTGGTCAGCCATTTCTGTTTTTGGAAGGGAGAGGAGACAGATATAATGAATGGCTTTTATTGTGCAATATTTCAAAACCTTTTTGACTGCATTCGGATGGGATGGAAAATGTTCTACCCTGTGCTGCAGCCAAAACAAACAAAACATATTCCCTAAACCTGGATATGTGTTTCACTCAAACTGGCAGTAGTTAGAGCTCTACTCTTAAACAAGAATTTAGTTTGACAGTTTTTAGGCCTTGTTCAGCTGAATATAACAGCCAAAGAAAATACTTTGGAAAAAAAATTAAATAATAAACATATTTACAGCTTGCAGGTGGCATTAATTTTTGCAGTGCATAGTATTTAGTTTTAAGAATCCCTGTTAGTTGTGCTATACTGTAGGTTTTAAAAAATATTCTTAATTGTCTCCTTTTTCAAATGAGTTTTTCTTATGAGAATAGTCACTCTGAAGGAAAATACATTTTATGTAGTTCCCTGATGGGTGATAAATAGCTGTGATTCAAGGCTTTAAAAGTTTCAGGTCTATCAAGAAACTGAAAATTCTACAAATGTGAGACCCAGCAAACTAGCAGTAAAACCTCCTGACAGAAGCGTGCTATAGACTGGCTCCTAGCTGCACTAAAGTGTAGTTTAAATACCCTCTTTATAGTGCAGGCTTACTGCTGGTTTTTGGCATTGCCAATCAATTCAGTGAAGACCTTGCACTGCATAGCTCAGATAATTCATGTGATGCAACATGTTTTATGGCCTGAACAACCATATTTATTAATAATAATAACTTCTAATGTAGATGCCTATGCCCAAAGGTGTCTGGGTACAGTAACAATGAAGAACTAAAACTGTAAATTATCAAAGGAGGTACCATGCCTTTATTTCCCCTCCTCCTCCCTCCTTTATTCCTTACAATCCCACCCTCCAAGCAAAAATCGCTTTGAACGATTAAAATAGA